CAATAGGACGTAATTCGGGGCAGTTAGAAGGAATCATCTTTTTCGGAACCAACATCACTCCATTATCATCGTAAAACTTTGAGCATCTTTTGAGTAATGTATTGTGACTAAATCAGGCCAAAACAATACTGAAGTATTTCTATGAGCTTTAATTAGTCGTTTTATACGAGAAAGACAACATTTCACGTGTTTCGAAGATTTCATTGTGCCCAAACAAACATGAATTGGCGATTTTTTGCCGCAAGAGCAAAGTGCCTACCAAATCATCAATTTTTTCGAAAATTTATCAGTCATTACATACTTTTATTTATCACTCACATTTCATCTAATTTTAGAAACATAGTAGCACTGCCAAGGAATTTGTTTAAAATCCATTTTAACATAAGTTTCGTCATCCATCAAAATGCATCCATTATGTTTTGTTAACAAGTTGTCATACAAATTTCGAGCTCGACTCATTGCGGTTAAATTTTGTTTATCGTTGCGATTTGGCATTTTAACTGCTTTAAAACTTTGATATCCAAGTCTCAGTCGCCATTTGTGTACAAAAAAATTGGAAACCTTCAGTTTTTTCGCTCGAAATCTATCAGACCAAGTCTCCAACCGTTCGAGAGCTCTAGGATTTGCTGTGCATTTTTTTCGACCACTTCCTTGTTTTCTCTGAATAGTTTTCTGTTCTGTAAACCGTTGAAGAACAGTATCTACAGTTCTTCTTGATATTTTTAATGATTTCGCCAACTTTCTATTCGATAAAGTTGGATTTTTTAAGTGTTTGCCCACAATCAAAAATCTTTGTTTAGTTTGCTCGGTTGACATTTTGAAACTAAACAATATTTTAAATTATTTTTTTTTTTTGCCAAAATGTTCTATTATACAAACACTACCACACACAAAAAAACAATTTCAAAAAACGACCGTTAACTAGCTTTACCACAACCGCAAAAGGTGGGCAGATTTTTCCGATAGCATGCCTTATATTTTATATTTGTGTATATATATATATATATATATATATATATATATATATATATATATATATATATATATATATATATATATATATATACTTTTTTTTTAAAGGAGCTTCTTGTTATGGCTGGAATTTTCAGTATTCAGTTGTAAATGAGAAGCTAATGGTTCCAACTATCGTTGATGTTTTTCCTTTTGCATAATGGTTTTTTATAACTTTTTATTGTTGTTAATATAATTTAACTTATGTAATGATTAATTAATTTTATACTTTTTAAGATAATAGATGATATTCGAAGTTTATTTTCATCCCGGATATAAAAAAAACTTGAATGTTTCGTGCGTATTTTACACAAGTAGATATATATATATATATATATATATATATATATATATACACAAGTAGATATATATATATATATACACTTACTAAAGCGTGTTTTGATAAGCATTTGCTCACTTTTTTTGCTTACCTTAAGCTATACCGTTTTTTTCGAAAAAGAAGAAAAAACGAAGAATGATGAATGAAACGATTGCTTCCCTATCCCAAACCCTCAGTCGATGTAGCAGCACTCCACTGCGAGTCAGGCTATTTGTCAGTCGATGTATGTACTGAAGCCCCCAGCAGTATGACGTTAGATTGCTTACCTTAGTTCAGGATGACGTTAGATTGCTTACCTTAGTACGCAATGCTATTTGTAGAATGAACTGACACGTATAAGAAGTAACAGCTTATTGTAGTGAAGGCGATTTATATACTATTCGAATTCTTTTATTTGGAATTTCCGTGATTTTGTCAGCGTATTAAATCCAAACATGAGCTTTAGATGTTCTATTTTTTTTTTTTTTTTTGCTTAAATTTTTTATGTTTAAAGAAACTTTTTTCTTTTTTATATAGTATATAATTAAAAAATTTTGAAAAAGTGACTTAATCTGTTATAGATCCTAGCTCTAATCTATTCTAGTACATATTAATTGAATATAATAGAACTCTTCACAGTTCTGATAATTTCGTGTGCTCGTATTTAATAGTACGTCATGGTCCTTATGCGCAGAATCGCATGAAAGAAAGTAAATACACAGATGTATGATCATGAAAGCATTCTTAAAAGAAACATTAGTTTACATGAGATTTCTTTTTTTTTTTTCATAATAAAAACGTCTATTTTGCTTTAAGTTTATTTTAACTATTTTAAGTCTAAATTTATATTATTCATATATTTATACTCTTTAAATGTTTGTGTTATAGAATATATTTAAAAAAATAAAAGCTTTTAAACGGTGAGAGCAGGCAATGATGATTGTGTTTGCGTATATATTTTATATATATATATATGTGTGTGTGTGTATGTATGTATATATGTATATAGATATATATTTATATATATATGTATATATACATATATATGTATGTATAGGTAGGCTCTCTTGTCAAACCCTTACTCCGACGCTGTCCTTAAGGTCTGAAAATGTAAAAAAAACGACTTCTTCATTTAAAAAAGAACCTGCCTACCTTAAACCCTCAGTCGTTGTTTACACACTCCGCTGCATGTTCTCTCTAAAAATTAGTTGGCGTATGTGCGCATATATATGCGTGTATATATATATATATATGTATATATATATATATATATATATATATATATATATATATATATATATATTGGCTTTGACTAGGCCGTCGGGATACCGGGAGATTCCCAGTGGTGCGGTTGCCATAAAAAAATCATATTTTTAGTTAAGTTACATTTTATTTTCCTTTGATTATTATAATGAACAGTAAACTAAAGTGTAACTAAAAGTAAATTGCAACCTCTTACCCTAACTCTGATATTTGATATAAATCGAATAGTAATCAATGCGAGCCAAGTGAAGAAACTTTAAAATAATTATAATTATTTTTTGAAACCCCCATCAATTTTTTTTAAATTTCATTCAAAGCAAAATAGCTTTGATCTAAACGTTAAAATTAATTAATTAAAGTTTTATTTCAGAAAAAATAAGCTTTGTCACTGGCTGATCGTTAAAGAAAATACACAAAAATTGTTTTACTCATTTTGTTTGGCATTTAGCAAAGCTTTAGATCATTTGACGTCTTTTAGTAGATACAACCTTACGGATTCTAAGCATATTTATCAAAGAATATCAGAACATCAAAGCAGTGCACTCCATGCAGCCTGCACAGAATCGTATGTTTTAAAAATCAATACCAAAGATATAAGCATTTATACGCGCCGACACGATGAAAAGGTTAAAAAAATTCGTTTAATTTTAGAAAAAATTATAGAAACTTACAGAAAACTACAGAGATGCAGAAAATTGCTTTATTTTTTAAATGACAGTGTAGATCATGAGAATTTTTTGAGTATTCTTTTGCTTGTTGGTAAATTTGATCTGTTGTTAGAGCACATATCGAAGAAGTAGTTATAAAAAGCAAGTTCTGGCATGGTTCAGTTGGCGACAGAAGAGGTCGTGGCAACTTGGTAGTATTTCTTAAAGACATCGTAAATAAGACATTTAAAGACGTCGAAAAGACGTCTTATTTACGATTATGCAAATCTAAAAGACATCTTTTTTCGACATCAAAAAGACGTCTTTTTTTTATTAATCTTGTCTTAATCTTGTCATAAAAAGACATAAAAAATGCGTTTTTAAGACACCTTTTTTAGTCGAATATGCAAATCTAAAAGACATCTTTTTTCGACATCGAAAGACGTCTTTTTTAATCTTAATCTGGTCATGAAAAGACATAAAAAATGCTTCTTTTAGAGGTCTTTTTTTATCAATTATGCACTTCTAAAAAAGTGTTTTTTCTCGGGGTTGGAACAACTTTTTTGCCATACTTATTAATATGCTACAGTATCCTATACACTATAGTATTCCTACTTTTCTTATATGAAAAGCTATTTTTTTCAAATGAAAATGATAATAGCTCTTCATACAAAGTATGACAAAAAGCTTTTTCCGATGCCGAGAAAAAAACCTCTTTTAGATGTCAATATAAAAGAGGAAGCATTTTCTACATCTTTTATATGTTTAAATACAGGAGAATAATTTATAAATAAAACAATAGTATTGTTCAAAAGAATATTTTTTCATCTTTCTCTTCTTTTTTTTTCTGTTTCTTGAGCGAGCTCTGTTTCTTGGTGTTGTTGAATAAAATTAACAATTTCACGTCGAGAAATCCTTTCATACGAGCAGGTTACGACTTCTAGCTGGTTACCACTTCTAAAAAACGAGTGAACATAAAAAACAGCCTAATGCTTATATGTAATACAAAAAATGCAAAAGAAACTTGATTAGCTGAGTGGAGCACATTATACTTATCGACTATTTATTCAAAAAGGGCTGATCCTTTTAATCCACTCATGTTTCCAGCGCGTTCCCTTCTTTTTGAACCCACTAGGTTAGATTGGGACAGGAGTTTTTTTTTTTTTAAAAAAAAGACGTCTTCAAAAAGAGGTCGAAAAGACGTCAATCGGTTGTTAATAAGGAAGTCATTATTTGCTAAAGAAAATTAAAAATAATTATTGCTAATAGAACTTATCAAAAATGGGTTTTAAGTTAAAACTGTAGGTTAAAACTTTTAACCTACAGTATCGTAATTACGATATCTTTGTTACGTTCTGATTGGCCCGTTTTTTCTTTACAAAATACTTTTATATAACTTTTATGTGAAACATTTTTGCATAAGAAATTTAATTAAAAATTAACTTTTTTCGGTAAGCAGTTTTATTTAATAATTTATATAATAATATTATGTAAAATATACATAATATAAATGCATACATATATTATAGTATATATACATAAAACCTGTAAACAATTTATCTCTATATTTACTTGTTCAAGTGCCAGTGAAACGAACGATAGAAAAAAAGAAGCATTCGGTAGAATTGCAATTTTTTTTATATATATTTTTAAATGATCTGAATAATTTTGTTGTTTTTATTTAGTTGAATGATGAAATTGTTTATACAAAAGATAGGTTCTTCAACCTTTATGTTAAATATTTTATTTTCTTGTTAACTGTTGTCGGTCATTAATAAAGCAATTATAAAAATACACATAATGACAACAGATTTATTTTTTAAAATGTTCGCAAAATTTTTGGTTTGGATACAAAAGGCCAAGTGAAAATAATACTGGAAAGGTACACTTTCTTATATCTAAACATCATTGCAGCTTTCTAGTCTTCATTTTTGTTTATGTGTATTTCATCTGTGTTGCTAATGATATTGCCAGTTTTTATGATTTTATGTTGTTAAGTAAAGCATCCTTATGTTTCAGGCTAAAATAGAGCTTTGACTAATACTTTTTTCTAGTTTAAATGAATTACAACTCTCCAGGTGTATTATCTTTTTGTTTTGATAGCCTTTAGTCAATAACGGATTTTTAAATTGTTGAGTCTACAACACTTAAATTCAGCGAAATTCAATTAAAAAATCATGTTATAGAAGACAGAAAAATAGCAATATCTGTTTTCAATAACTTGGCTTTCATAACAAATCTGAGAGGCGCAAATGTTTAGCTTGGTTTAAGTACTACATAATAAAATACATCGTTGTACAGTCATTTTGATGGTTGTAAATTTCTTTAGCACACTCATTTTTATATATTTTTAGACTGTTTACCGTTTAACTCCTGTCATTTTAATGAGTTTCGTACAAAAGTGAATGGGAAAAAAGTATTGTTAATTTTGGATGGCCACAAAAGTCATGTGACTATTGAAGCGATTGAATTAGCAATAGAGATTGATATTGAAATAATATGCATTCCATCTCATAGTACACGTCGCCTTCAACCTTTTTTGAAGACGTCTTTTTAAAAGGCTTCTTTCCACGTCCGGTTTTTGGCTGATTATTAAAAGACATAACAAGTCATAAAAAAGACGCCTTTTATTCGTCTAAAGATGTCTTTTTTCCCACTGGGTATGTTTTTGCTTTTGGAATTGTCACGTAATGATTGTTAGCACATGCTCGAATGAGGGGCAACTTCGTTGTTAAAGAAAGTTAATACTCAAAATAAGGCTCTTCAGAATATATTAATTTACAGTTAGCTTTTAAAACTTTTTGAAGTTTTAATTATAAACACGACTTTATGTAAAACATGTAAACAAACTTATTATAATGTATAGTCTGAAAGGTATATATAGTAAATAATAAGTATATAAAACATATATGTTATATATTTTTATACATATTTAAGATATGTATAAATATAAAATATTGTTAAAATATTATTGAAATTTTAATAAAATTTATTAAAATTTCAATAATATTTTAACAATATTTTATATTTAT